GTTACAGTCAGAAGCTCTCTCGTGTCCCTTTGCTAACAGGTCTGCATGGAGCCTGGAAACATTTACAGCTGACACGGCACAGGCATACTGCACACAAGGAGAGTGATCTTGTTAACAGATTAGGATCACCAACTGAAGCACAGTGACAGTGACGACTTGCTGGAAGTCACTCGGCAAGCAGGTGGCCAGTGAGGCACACATAGAAACATGTTTGATTTGTTAGACTGCTTCTTTCCACACCGCCAGGGGAAAATCCCACGGTGGAGCATGACCTCTTGCTGGAATTGGTCCTTTGGCCAGCAGGGGCAAGGCACGCTGTGCCTCTTGCTCTATGGATGTTGTGTTTGCTAGCTCAGGGTGGCAGCTTGGTGCCTTGGCAGCCAGTGAGGCACCCTGGGATGGGAAATCAGGCAGCCGCCCAGATATTAGAAACAATTACTGCTAATTACCAGGCCTGCCAATTCCCCATTGTCTGCTTGCACTCCACCAGGAATCAAGGAGCAGGCGATGGGGATGTTGGAGGAAACTTTCAATTTTGGCTTGCAGAGTGCCTGGTGCCGCTTGGGGGCTGGGCTCCTTCCTGCCTTGAACCCACAAGGCCCCGCTACCTTTCCATCTCTCTCTGTTTTAGAGACCACATGCTCCTTACAGAATAGATCTTGGATCCTCCAGAGTGCTGGGGAGGTAGGGGAGAGGAACCCAGGGCCATAGAGCAAAGCCCACATCTTGGCTGTGAGTCTAGTGTTGGCCTCAGTGTAAGTAACTAAGGGTCTTTAGTTTTATAAGAGCGGTGAGTACACACTTTAATCTCCAAACATTTAAGTGTTTATTTTGTACTTTCTCTATAAAAATATACTGCTGGTGAGTGAAGATAGTAATACCCATGGGGGTTTAACTGCGTGGCCCCTGTGCCAGGCAGCCTCTCTTTCTGAAGCTGACCCAAAGACTCTGGTAGACTAGGAGGCCACCCCAGAAACCAACACCGGGGAGCAAGAAGAAACCTGACGGGAAGGGAGGGGCTCATACAGGGCAGAGGTCATGCTATGACCCCCTCCCCCAGCAGGCAGCCAAGGTTTGAGGAGGCTGTGGAAGATGTGTGGTGGGGTACCCTTTATCCCAGCTGCAGGCCACTCCCAATTGCCATCAGTGGGAACTGGGTTAACCCTTAGGGACTTCTCTGCCCTGCCTATAAGCAGAAGCAAGCATTGTCGCAGCCAGAAGAGAGGCCCTCAGACTGTGTGCCCCAGGTGAGAAAGGGCAGCTGAGAGGGCAGGGGTGCATGCTGGGAGGACAGGGTAGGTCAGTCTCTACTTGCCTGACTTGAGTGGTTACTACTCTTTCCCGCTGATCGAGAAGATGGGTCCACAAATAGTATGGACCAAGGGACTTTAAGGCCCAAACAAATTAATACGTGCCACCAATATCCTTAGACCTCTGGTGGCCCACAGTAAGGATTGCTTATTGGCTGTTACAGATCTCTGAGTCAAGGCTCCATTTTTCTGGTTTGTTGAAGCTTAATCTCAGGTGGTTCAGGGTTGTCCAGAAGGTTATATCTATATCCTAGACATAGAGAGAGTACATGTAGAGAGAATCCATGTCAACTCCAAAACAGGTCCAGGGGTGACAGCCAAAGCATGTCTGCCCTTGGTATCCGTGAGTTGCTTCTGTGGACTGAATCATCTTTAACTCAAAGATATTCGAGAAAAACATTCCAGAAAGTTTCAAAAGCAAACTTTGGACTTGCCTCACGCCCATCGCTGTAGTGAGGCCCACTGAGGGCCCGGCGCACAAACGCACACTGGGGCAGCACCTGCCGTTTCCCATGTCCTCCACGCCTGTGGTCCCACGAAGTGAGCACCTTTTGCCCTGTTCGTGTTACCTGTTAGGTAGATCTGCGGTGGTAATATCCATACTGCACATGTATGGAGCTACCTTGTCATTTTTCCTAAACAACACAGCATAACAACCATTGACATTATCGTGTGCAGTGGCATTGTGGGAAGCATCTTACGTAATCTGCCAATGATTTAAAGTTCATGGGGGAGGGCTGGGGGCTGGAGAGGCGGCTCAGAAGTTAAGAGCACTGACTGCTCTTTCAGAGGACCTGGGTTCCATTCCCAGCTGACCCACATGGCAGCTCACCACTGTCCTTAATTAGAACTCCAGGATTCCAACACCTTCACACAGATTCATGGGCAGGCAAAAACACCAGTGCACATAAAATAAAAATGAAAATGTTAAAGATCTTAAGAAATGAAGTGCATGAGGGACATGCAAGGATCTATGCAGACACGGTCAGTACATCCATCTTTTAAGAAGGACTTGGCATCTGTGGATTTGGGTGTCTCTGGGGTTTCTGGAACTGGAATCAATCCATCGTGGGTACCAAGGGACAGCTGGCTTAATAAGATGGAGAACACTGAACACACTGTTTACTTTGAGGCAAGCATCCCACATACCCCATTGTTCTCCTTCTTTCCATAGCATTTGTTACCTTCTTTCATGGTATATGATTGATGTTATTTTTGGATGTGTTCATTTACTTGTGTGTATTCATGTTTCGTAGGGACAAGTGTATGTGTACTGTGTATGTGTCTGGTGCCCACGGAGGTCAGAAGAGGGCATCAGGCTCCCAGGAACTAGAATTACAGACAGTCGTGAGCCAGTGTGGTGCTGGAAATGGAGCCTGAGTCCTTGCAAGAGTTACCAGTGCCCTCAGCCACTGAGCCATCTCTCTACCCACTGAGAGTATTTCTTGTTATGTGCCTGTGAGAACAAAAATCACTGTCTGCCTTGTTCCTTGATGTGGTCTATGTTCAGAACAGAGCCAGGAATGTGTAAAAACAACAACAACAAAAAACATACAGTGAATGAATGTATCATGTCGATGCTGGCTGGAATGCCTGTATCCTTGCAGAGTTATCAGTGCTGGGTAGTATTAGTAGAGTCCACTGTGCTGCAGGGACCACGGAGGAAGGATGTGTGGCCTAGGTGTCACCCATCACTCCAGTGTCTTCTGGCCTGTGACCATTGTTGTCTGCTCCTTGGTCACCATTTCTGTTGTCTCAGCCACATTCCTTTACCAGACCATCAGCCTCCATGGATCTTTTTCTCAAGTGCACATGCAACTTTCGTATCTGAGATGTGGAGAGACATTGGAACTTCAGAGACTGTCCTGGGGCCTCTTGAGAAGACACCCTGGCCACCATTTCTACAGGGCTTTATACCCATTCCTCGTCTCCACCTTCTAAGAACAGTGGTGTGAGCCCCACTGCTTTCAGATCCCCGCAGGCTGTCTGGGGCTTTCTGTGATCCTCCAGCATCACCAGCTAACCTGGGGACCATGGGTGTCAGCTCACTCCATCCTTACCAGACTCCCTCTGCTCTCCAGGCTGGGGACTTTGTATGTTTTTTGTTTGTTTGTTTCTTTTCTGGGGAAGACTATCCCATTTTTGTTCCTGTCTTTCTCAGTCTGTGTATCCTCCTGGGCCACCCCTCTTCTAACGCGACCTTCTGACACCCTGCCACTGGTGGGTGGGGGACACAAGGGGCAGTGGGAAATCATGCTAATGGATGTGGGGTTCTGTGCGTGCTGTGGCTCTGCCCAGTACGCAGGAAGGGAATGGGTTAGCTGAGCAGCTTGCCTGACATAGTGGAAGGTAGACCTGAGCAGCCCTGAGCTGGGCGCAAGCGAAGTCCACATGTTCTGTGAGGGCCTCTGTCACCCGTCTAGTCCTCTGGGGCACTCCTTTTAACTACCAGAGTTATTGAGTGACCTGGCTCAGCTCAGGCATCTGACCCAGAATCCTTCAGCTCTGCCCAAGAACTGACGTCAACCTTTTGCCGGGCAAATGTTTTTCTCATTTGATTAATAGTGGAAAAGATTCATTTGCAGGTTTTTGTTTGTTTGCTTAAGAAACAGTCAACTTCCTGGGGTCATGGTGAGGATGAGGTGACAATGGGCGGCAGATACCTTGTTCCTATAGATAGAGATCTGTTCCTATAGATAGAGATCTGTCAGACAGTCCCTCACTTCATCTCAGTACAAGAGACCCTGGAGAGGGGAGTGTCGCCATCCTGAGGTTGGAGGGGAGAAAGGGGAAGGTTAGAGGTAAAGCAGGAAGGGAAACTAGCTAAAACTGGTTTAACCAAAGGAATAATAGTAACTGTTTCTGACTTACTATTCAAAAGAGGGCAATGCCTTCGTTCCTGGGCTCTCTATACCAGGCACTCCGGTTCCACGTCCCCGGCCCAAGTCTGATGGGAAAGGGAGCTTCACCCTCCCCACAGTTCACAAAAGCTTCTGTATCAGATTTTCATTGACTGAACTGAGCTATGTCTGTCCTGGAGCCAGGCCCTGGCCAAGGAAAAAAAAAGGGGTGCCTCAAGAGCCGTCCTCCCTGCTACAATCACATGCCTTGGGGATGTGGGGCTCCTGGAGGAAACTGGAGGTTCTATTACCACAAAAGGGAAAGTGGGCATCAGGAAGCTGAACATCTGTCAGTAGCATCTGTCAGGGCCCAAGGCTTATGTGCAGGGTGTTGGTCATCTGGCCTCCCTTGAGTGAGCCTCACATTCATCTGCTGGTTCTGGTCCAGCAGCTGGGCAGAGGCATCATGTGTGATGTGATTCTACCCAGCTCCAGATGTAGCTGATGCTGCTGATCTCTGGACCACACTTGGAATATCAAGGCATTAAGCCTCCCATGATCCCTACAGCCACCCTGACGAGTTAAATCAGCATCCTTGGTGGGTGTGAAGAAGATCACCATGGAGCTGGGTGGTGGTGATGCATATCATTAATCCCAGTACTCAGGAGGCAGACAGAGGCAGGCCGATCTCTGAGTTTGAGGTCAGCCTGGTCTACAGAGTGAGTGCCAGGTTTGCCAGGGCTACATAGAGAAACCCTGTCTTAACAAACAAAGAAACAAAGATCACCATGGGAATAGGAATATTTTGATCTCTGTGTGGATCCCAAAGCACATCCTCTTCTTCTCACAGTCTTAACTATGGAGGCGTTTGCCTGGCTTCAGATGCCCAGTTCAGTGACTTCCTGGGGAGCATGGGGCCAGCACAGTTTGTGGGCCGCCAGACCCTGGCTACCACACCCATGGGTAAGTGTTCGAAACCCCATGCCCGTCCCTCCTTTGCCCTCACCTGATAGCTTCAGGCTCTGAGCACCTGGCTTGGAGCCTGGACCATACAGTCCAGCCCTCCACCGTGCCTACCTCTGAAGTGTCCAAGCTGTAGTTATGGGACTTAGTCTGCTCTTGTTTGGGCTGGGAGTGGGGTAGAGGACAATGAGTACCTGCTAGAGCTTCTAAGCCACTTTCTAGTGTCATCTCTTGCAGGAGATGTGGAGATCGGCTTGCAAGAACGCAATGGCCAGCTGGAGGTGGACATCATCCAGGCTCGGGGACTGACTGCCAAGCCGGGCTCCAAGACACTGCCAGGTGTGGGGACATCTGAGAGATGTGTCTGGTGTGGTCCACTGGACCAAACTTCTAGGAGATTTTTGTTTATGATTATGCCCCGGCTCCTAGTATATACTATACGCCCAGAGTACTTGGCATCCGGTGGGGCTCAGAAAGCGTGTGTGGGAGAGGTTGACAAATGAATGTATAAGTATGGCACGGTGGGCAAGTCATGGACTCATGGAAGAAACAAATAAGCAGAGAAAGAGAGGCTATGAGGACCACTAGAAGGAAAGCAGGCCCACTCTGACATGGCCTCACATGCTGCCCACCCAAATGGGACCCACAGAATACCCACCCAGACATGCCTATACGTGCTGCCCACCCTACACCCATTTGCCCTGTGGCCCTTCCCCATACTCCTGGGGATTCTCTGGTCCCCAGAAGTAGGTGATCAACCCCTCTCTGTTGTACCTATCACCCACAATTTGAGGGAGCAGCCTGAACCCTGCCTTCTGCCCTCTGTCCCCAGCTGCCTATATCAAGGCCTATCTGCTGGAGAATGGTGTCTGCATTGCCAAGAAGAAGACCAAAGTGGCCCGCAAGTCCCTGGACCCGCTGTACAACCAGGTGCTGCTGTTTCCTGAGAGTCCCCACGGCAAAGTCCTGCAGGTAAGGGTGCCCTCTTCTGGCCCCTGTAGGCAACACACACACACACACACACACACACACACCTGTACACATTCCACACATAAAATAAAAACCAGTTTTCTAAAAAGATTCAAAAGCAAAAACAAAACCCAGGCATACTGTGAGTGATGGTCCTGTCTGACTGAGGACGGTCCTTTAAGCCTGTTCTCAACCTTCCTAACACTATGACCATACAGTTCCTCATGTGGTGGTGACCCCCCCCAGTCATAAAGTTAACCGGTTGCTCCTTCATAACTACAATTTTACTACTATTATGAATCATTATGTAAGTATATGATATGCAGGCTGTTATGTGACCCTTGTGAAAGGGCCATTCAACTCTCAAGGTGGTCGCGACCCACAGGTTGAGAACCACCACCCTAGGTTTCACTGAGGGGGCAGAACTAAAGGCGAGGTGCAGGGCCGCAGATGAGGGTCCTGCAGCCACAGAGACCAGGAAAGTACCACCCACAGACCAGGAAGGAAGCTAACAGTGACTCAGTGTCCCCTTTATGAGAGTGCGTCGGGCTGGAGAGATGGCTCAGCCATTAAAGACGAGGCTCACAACCAAAACTGTAAGAGATGCTGCATGTGGGGTCCGAGGTTCCCTGTGAGGGAAGTAGGGAGAGGGACCATGTTGTAAATGTAGGGCCACCCTTCGAGGCCTTTGTTCAAAGTGGGGCCTTGTGGGACATGGAGCAGAGAGGACGAGCGAGAGGGAGGAAGGCAAGAATGGCATAACAGAGACACTAGAGCCAGAAAAGCATGGTCAGATGAGTGACTTTTATCGTTTCTTATCTGAAGCTGGGGACACACATGCCACAGAGTGCAGGTGGAGGTTAAATGACAACTCGCAGAAGTCCACCCCCCCATGTGGGCTCTGTGGGCTCTGACACTGAACTTAGGCCACCAAGCTTGGCAAGAGGCATCTTTGCCTGATGAGCTATCTTGCTGACCCCCCTTGCACGGTTTTTAACTAGATAGACTCTACAGGACTTAGCTGCATTGGCCTGAGGAACCCTAGGTTCCGGCCTGACAGGCATTGTTTTTCTTTTCACTGTGTAGGTGTTTTGCCTGCATATATGTTCGTGCACTGTTTGTGGTCTTGGTGCCCGTGTAGTACTGGGGATCAAACTCAGGGTCTTGTGCATGCTGGGCAAGCTCTCTACCATCTGAGCAAACTGCCAAGCTCTCAGTTGCAAGATGGAATAGTTACGTTTTGTTTTGTTTTGTTTTTGTTTTTTGTTTTGTTTTTGTCCTGCAGGTGATTGTGTGGGGAAACTACGGACGGATGGAGCGGAAGCAGTTCATGGGTGTGGCCCGAGTGCTGCTGGAGGAACTGGACTTGACCACCCTGGCTGTGGGCTGGTACAAGCTCTTCCCCACCTCCTCCATGGTGGACCCAGCCACAGGTCCTCTGCTCCGGCAGGCATCCCAGCTGTCCCTTGAGAGCACCGTGGGGCCCTGTGGCGAGAGATCTTAATGCCAGGGATGGGGAGGGGCTCCCCGAGATGGCCTGGAGACCACCCAGCCCTGACCTGGGACCCCAGGCCCAGGGGCACATTGGACATCGGAGGATGGGGTTCTTCCCCACAGCGGGGAAGCAGAATGGGGAGACCTGCCCCCCCTTGGGCCCCTCCTCGCTCCTTCACCTCCTACCCCTGAGACCTTCCCTCTCCCAGTGGGTTGGCTACACTTTCGACTTGGCCGGTTTTGACCTGGTGGATGAGGCTACAGTCAGAGAAAGACTGAGGTGGCGGAGCAAATACTCTCCTGCCCCACCCCACCCCACCCCATCCCACCTATCACCCCCCCTTTTGCCTCCTTGGAAGCTCGCTGCCCAGAGCCAAGTCCAGAATCAAGCCGGCCATCTCCATGGTGCCAATTACCAGCAAGTGTCTTTCCTGCGGCACCGGGTTCAGGCAGCTACTCCTGCCCCAGAGCTGACGGGGCAGTTTGCAAGGATCCGGAGCCAGCTCCCAGGGGCCCAGAGCTCCCCACTTGAAGGGGAGTGTGGGTCTCCCTCTGCCTGCCCGTGGAAGGAGCTTTGCCGCAGCCTGTCTGAGTCCATCCATCCATCCCCTCCTGCCTGCCCCTCTGCTGTAAGCTCTAGGAATTGGGGGCCAGCAGAGATGAAGGGAGAGGAGGAGGAGCCCCAGGCCTGGCACAGATTCCCCAGGGGCCCTTGTTCCATAGGGTTGCAACAAGCTGCTCTGGAGCTCTCGGTGGACTGGAAGGGACATTGTCATTTGTGATATGGTGGAGGACTGCGGGGACCTGAGTTTCTGGAACCCTGCACACAGGTTTCTCTCCTGTGCGGGGGTAGTGGGAGCCGAGCTTTGAAGAAAGCTGGGATTAAGTCTAGTGGCACCAAGGTAAGGGTTTCCCAAACAGGAGAACCCCTCCTTGTTGGATGAGATCAAAGGTCATCTTGCAATCCCTCTGCCTCTGGTCTAGGGTCTTGGGGAGGCATTAGAGCCCCTCCCATTTTAGTCTTTTTAAATAAACCATCCTGTACGAAGGGCAGAAGCCACTGCCCCGGCCTCATCACCATGGCTCAAGGAGGTACAACGGGAGGGATACTGAGCTATGAGTGTCAGAGCCAGAGGCTCCGATGAGGCCTGGGTAGCTGCCTTCTTGTGGCCCTCCCTAGGGCCTGCAGGAGCCCTTTTGCATGCAAGGGAGGACACAGTCTGGCCCTATAGAAGCACATTTCTATCTCTGTCCTGGGAGCCGCCCAGCAGCCTGTCACTCCTCCTCACCCAGTCCCTGCTGTGTAGGGTGTAGTCCAGGTTAGCTGGGTAGTTAGTGTTCTCGCCTGAGGCCTGTTCTTAGCTCAGATGTAGTCTTTTCTTCAAGCCCCAGGCTGGGGGTAGAGGGGAGACCCCAGTACATTCCAGAAGATTGCAGCCTCTCTCTAGCCTGGGCTGGGTGGGCTGCCTAGCTCCCCAAAGGCCAGCCCTTCCTCCCCACCTTCCTCTCTCCTCCCTTACGGAGTTGTGGCTCTAACTGTCCCTTATACTCAGCGTCCTGGGAAAGTACCCTTGGTATTGATTTGCTTTAGGATGCGCTCCTGAGGATGGCTGGGCCTTGTGAAGGGGCCTGGACTCCATTCAAGGGTGTCATTTTTCACCGAGGATGTCAAGGTTCTGTTGAATCCCACCTTGTTCTTCTTCTACCAGGGGTTCCTTTCACTTGGGAATTCTCCCCAGTCCCAGCCTGGCTAAGCTGTGAGTACCTTTAGGATTCTGATCCAGCTCTGTCACCTCCTCGTGGAGCTGTTGACACTGCACAGGGAAGGGGCTGTACACGAGCCCCTCTTCTCAGACCGATCTTCAGAGCGTCCTTGGGACTGTGGAGAGTCAGGCCCTCAGGACAAGGGAACAGGGCTCTGGATGGGGTCCCATTTGAGGCCCACAGTTAGCCATCACCCCGCCCCCCCCCCCCCAGTGTGGTATCTCTGCAGTTAGGCCATTACTCACCATTTGGAATATTTTCACCCAGTAGAACATCTTCCCTCCCCAGCTGTCACCGCTGTGGTTATTCAGGGTGGGACAGAGCCTGGCTGTCACAACCAGAGGGGGAGGGGGCTCAGCTCTGATTTGTCTGAGAGAGAGAAAGAGGGAGGGAGGGAAGAGAGAGAGAATGCAGGAGCACTGGCTCCAAAGCAATAACAACACCCTGGGGTGGTCGGTGAGGCCCCCTCAGTGATTTTCTTGTTTGTTCTGTGACATCTCACTCACCTCCTGGAGGGGTGGGGTGGGGGCTGGAGCCCCATTTCTTTGTGTCATTGTAAGCGTGTGCCCCACTTCCAAGGGGCTGTGACCACTGCGTATGGGAACCTATCTGTCCTCACCAAGGACTGGACAGGGCTTGGAGAGGGGGAATGATTTTCATCATTAGCTTTGGGGACTACGAAGCCCAGCCCGTGCCCACTGCTGTCTGCCCCTCTGTCAACTCAAACTCTGTCATCTGGAGAGGAGTACGAGGGTGGAGTTGGGATGCCTTTCCGGTGCTGGGTCTCTAGGGACGTTTCTTTTTTTCTCTGGACAGAGGCCATGTATAGGACAGCCATGTAAAGGGTCATCTCCATTTTCCTTTCCCAGAATGCCTCTGCATTCTGAAGGGCAGGGCCTGTGGATCTTTAGTCCATTTACATTTTGCAAAAAAAAGATACCAAGTTCCTGCCTGAGGAGAGCCATCCTGGGGTCATTGGTATGCCCAGTGGCCCTTCTCCTAGATCTCCTCTTCATTCACATGTCATGCTGAGCTGGGGCCAGGGCAGGAGGGGGGGGGCTGCCCAGTCTCATCCTTTCTACTCCTTTTCTTTGGAGCCTCCTAGTGGCTCCAAATTATGGTAGGACAAGCTGTAGCCTGAGGAAACCCAGGCCCCAGCGGGAAGTCATCTGGTTAAGGCCTCTCAGCAATATGCATGGGATGGGGGAGTGACAGAGTTGGGAGCTGCAGCAGGGAGGCCTGTGCTCAGAGGTGGATCTGCCACCGTCATCGTTTCCAGCTTCTAGAACAAGTGACACGGCCCCACTTGACTCTCTCTCTCCTGGGCCAGTGCCTTTTCTAGGCTTGAGTTGGAAGAAGAGGAGGCACCAGGGTGACCGAGATCTCCTGAGCAATCTCCCCAGTGATCAGGAGCTGAAGGATTTGCTCTAGGCCTTTTGTTCTGGGTCCCAACACAGGCTCTCACCTGGTTTATAGAGTGGGGGCTCCAGGCAGTCCTCACCTTCAGAAGGGTTAACACTGCTTCCCACAGAACTTCCCACAATGTGTCCCCAGTGATTTTACTCTGACCCTCACATGAGCTCCAATAGCAAGTCAAGGGAGGCTTATATTGTCAGCCCCATCTTCAGGAGGGAGAGCTGGAGGTCCCGAGAGAAGGGCTTGCCGGAGTGACTGAGCTCCAGCTCGTTCCCCAGGGGTCCGCAGCACAGGCGTGCAAGCACACAAACACAGTTAAGTGATTCGCCACCGGATTCCTCGAGGCAGGAGACTCTGGAGTACTTTGAGGTTCAGAAACAGCACAGCACCCCACACTCCCAAGGCAGAGCTGTTGCACCAGGCAAGGACACCTGCATTTATTTATTGAGCAACAGCACTACACCGGGCCCAGAGCCTCGGACCCCCTTCCTGTCCCTTGCAATGGCTCTCTTGGCCCTCCAAGAGGACCTGCATCTGTAGAACAGGACCTTGGTGGGCGGAGCGTTTCCAGGAGCTTACCTGACAAGCCCCAAGGATTTTTCATCTCAGTAAGAGAACCTGTGTGGCTGGGTAGAGGCTAGACGCTGACATAGGTGTTACCTGGCATCCTCCGGCAAGGTGGCAGGAAGGTGGGACTCCAGCGTCCTTGGGCTGGGAGCCTCCCTCCATTTACACACCTTCCCTGTGCCCTCTTGGGGAGCAGGAACAGCCTGGTCCTTTGGGGAGGGAGGGCTTTAGGGGTCTCTGAGTTGGAGTGGGTCACATTGCATTGTGTTCATGACCACATAGCTCATGTTGGAAATTAAAGTTTTTGGCTTTTCTACCCTGGCTTTGCTCTTGTTTTGCATCAGGACAGTTCCACCTGGGAAGATAAGGGGCACGTGTTTTCAGGACTGAGCGCTCTAGGATGCCAAGATGCCCCGCCATGGGCTTGTTAACACCCTCTATGGGCAGAAGCTAGCATCAGGAAGCTCTCCCACAGGTGCCCAAGTGAAGTAGGGTCTGCAAATGAACTCTGGTTCACTGACAGGAGCTGGGGTCCAGGAAAGTGATATGAAATCCCAATGACATGTTGCTGGTGATTGGTGGGACCCAGAATGAAACTTGTCCCACACCACTGAGCTGCTGTAGGTAGTGATAAGTGGGGGGGGTCATCCCCTTCATCCAAAGGGGGCTAGCCAGGGACAAGGCTCTGCTTGACAGTGGAGGCAGCCATTTGCACACAGGCTGATCTCACCCTTCATGCAGAGCAAAGGGAATGCCGTCTGTATGGTGCAGAAATTGCCCACTGTGAGTCATAAACTACCTTCAGCCTGTCTCTATTTCATGCTTTTAGCATGAGTATCCAGTCTCACGGGGAGAATTCTAGTGTTTAAAATAATGCCTTTCCCCTGCAAGACATCTTGTGTCCTCTTCAGAGCAGGAGCTAGCCACTTGTCATCCTTTGAGGGGATGACCTGGTGTCACCCTTCCTAGGGGCTGAAGGCCGCATTTTCTACAAGACTCGACTAAACAGTTTACACTTCCAGGGTGACTGTAGAGTCGGCTTGTGCTTTTAGTGCAGCAGTCATGTATTTCTAGAAGGGATGATCCACAGATTGTAATGGGAGCCTCAACCCCCTCCAAGCGGCAGGAAAGGTAGGTTTGCTAGCAGACGGGGCTAGATATTGGCCAGGCCCGACCCGGGTGGGTAGGACTGTCAGATGGACTTCCTCCGTGTTCGGCATCTCTCTGGGCTGCTGTGACAGTGGGGCAGGGCTTCCGGACTCAAGGGAGGTGAGAAGGCCGGGTTGTCACATGCCCAGGTCTCCAGCTGATGGATGCCATGAGAGATGGAGGCTGCCCCACTGATGCGGCTCTCGAGCGCCCCCTTGCGAAATGCGCTGGTGCGGCGGACAGAGCGCTCAGGGGCGTCAGCACTAGCGAGAAAGCGCAGGACCACCAGGTTGAGGAAGGCACCAATGACTGTGAGCCCCAGCAGGATGTAGAGGAAGCTGAAGGCCACGTAAGGTGGCTTCCTCTGCAGCGCCTCGTCTCTCTGCAGCGCCACGAAGTCGCCGAAGCCGATAGTGGTGAGGGTGATGAAGCAGTAGTAGTAGGCGTGGAAGAAGGTCCAGCCCTCGAAATGCGCAAAGGCAGCAGCGCCTAGGGCCAGGGTGGCTGCGCACAGCAGCAGCCCAGCCACCACCATGTTCTCTGAGGACACGTGCGGCCGCTGCAGACCCAGGCAGCGCTTGGTCGCCATCAGCAGACACCTCATCAGCGCGTTTAGACGCTCGCCCAGGCTCTGGAAGGTGACCAGTGTCAGCGGGATGCCCAGGAGTGCATAGAACATGCAGAAGACCTTACCGGAGTCAGTGCCTGGCGCAACATGGCCATACCCTGTGTGGGGAGAGGGATGAGGTACTGAGAGCCCAGCCTAAACCAAGGCACTTCCACCCCAGGGTCTGCCTGTCCCCAGCAGCTCCAAGCCCTATTTAGGTGGTCCCCATACTCTGAACTGCTGTGTGGTTATTCACATCCCAGGTGTCCCCCCCATCCCAGGACATAGATAATCAGCCTGTGGTCCTTCGGATCCACAGAATTCTGTTGGGGCATCTTCTATTCTCAGAGGTAGCGAAGGATGGAGGAAGCCCAACCCCGAAGCGTGGACCCAGTTGATAGGATGCTCTGGAGAGACTGAACAGTCCTGTGTCTGGCTGCCCTAGGGTCTGAAGGACTACACAAGGACGAAAAGAGTTTGGGCATTATGGGAGAGGTTCTGTGACTTGGTTGGCAAGTATTTGATAGATGCTCTGATAACCACAGTGTACAGAAAATGTGAATTCTAGCAAATTATGCTTTGGTTGGAAGGGATGGGAGACATGTCTTCTGTGGCTTCCCAGTACCTACAGAGAAAAGTCCCAGTTCTCCCAAGGAGCCCCCAGTCCCCCCATTTCCAAGCCTCACCCCTCCACTTGCTTCCTTCCTCCCCAGCCTCACCTCTCTCTGCTCACCATCCCCTCTCTCCAGACTCACCCCTCCTCCCATCTTCCCTCTCCCCAGCATCAACCCTCTCTCACCTGCCCACTCCCCAGACTCACCCCTCCTCTCCACTCCCCAGACTCACCCCTCCTCTCCACTCCCCAGACTCACTCACCCCTCCTTTCCACTCCCCAGACTCACCCCTCCTCTCCACTCCCCAGACTCACCCCTCCTCTCCACTCCCCAGACTCACCCCTCCTCTCCACTCCCCAGACTCACTCACCCCTCCTCTCCACTCCCCAGAATCACCCCTCCTCTCCACTCCCCAGACTCACCCCTCCTCTCCACTCCCCAGACTCACCCCTCCTCTCCACTCCCCAGACTCACCCCTCCTCTCAAATTCCTAGTCTCCATACTCACCCCTTTCGCACCCACACTCTCTATGTGTACACCCTGTTGTTTCCCTACCAGAAAGTCATTCCTACAAGTCTTTCATGTTCATCCCCCTTGGACTGCTTTCTCTCTCCTTCCCAGCCCCCTGCTCCCTTCAAATCCCTCCTCACCTTCTGCCATTCTGTTGGCCTTTACCAAACACCAACTGGTTCTGGAAGATTCTGGTTCAAGCACTGGTGCCCTAATAGTATCTAGGCATGTGTGGGCTTCCCTGAGTCACAGCTCACTGTGCCATTGTTGTGGAATGCGTGGATGTGTCTTTTTCCTGGGAGAGCAACAATAGTTTATATGGTCTTATAACCAGGGAGAAGTGAGGGGGCCCATCTCCCAAAGAGAATATCTCTCCTCCAGCAGACTGACCCCGTCTGCCAAAGGTAAAGCATACAGACCCCTAGACCTGTGCAGTTCTGCAAAGTTAGCCCTCCAGTATGTGCAAATGTGCAAAATGGTGTGCACACATGGGCTGCCCCTGTGGTCATAGCAAAAGTTAGAACCAGGAACACATCCATCAATAAGGGCCTGGTTAGGTCTGTCTCAGCAAGGTAGAGTACTACACCAAACCACAGTGGCCACATCACCATGCAGACATCTGGCAACACTAGGGAAGCTCCTGGTTGTCTTTGCTAGGGGACGGGAAAGGGGTAGCTGTGTGTTGCTGGCATCCAGAGGCAGAGGATAAGGATACTGCCAACATTTTACAGGGCACTGGGCAGGCCCCAAGACAGAATTAACCAGGGCAAGATGTCAGTATTTCCAAGGTTGAGAAGCCCTGCTGTTCATTCTGAAAAAAATAGCATGGCTCTTTAGGGTTAATATAAAAAAATAGGATGTCCTAAATCAGGCGAAATCAGGGTCTGGGATATAGCTCAGTTGATAGTGTGCTTGACTAGCATGCCTGATGTCCCAGGTTCAATTCCTAGCACCACATAAAAAACAAGCATGGTGTCACACACCTGTAAACCCCAGCACTTGGGAGGCTGAGGCAGGAATACCGGAAGTTCTCTGTCATTAATGCTACACAGTGATTTTGAAGGCAGTCAGGGCTATATGAGGCCCTGTCTCAAAAAAACCACAAAAGGTGGACGAAATGAAAAGAGTGGGGATAGGCAGAGTAGTATATATAGCACACTAGCCACACAGTGTGTATGGTTCTTGAAGGAACATGTACACAGAGCATGTAGCTGGAAATATGGGAGAGACAGGTAAGATGTATGTGACCCAGGAAGATGAAGGAATAGGCTCTTAAGAGACAGGATAGAGACTCAGAAAGACGAAGATGACACGTTTCCTCTTTCATGCGGAGTCTAGATTGTGAAAAAAGACATGAAAGCTAGAAGAGGATCAAAGAGGAGAACAAGAGAAAGCAGTGGGGGTGAGACTGATGAAAATGTCAGCGTGAAACCCATTGTTTGTACAATTAATATACACTAGTAGAAAAGACTTCCAGGAAAGGGGGCAGGAACGGGTTTCCTTTTCGTTCTGCACCCCTTGGCACCCTGTGGAATGCGGGGTGTGGACATATAAAATATTCACAGTCCCGATGTAACATAAGCATTTAAAGCCCCGTGGTTGGCTGTCCTTCCAGTGCGTGACCTGTGGGTCTGCCTCCCTGTAGTACCAGGGAGCAGCCAGGAAATGCTGCTTCCATCTGCTTGAACTCTGCCAGGTTTGAGCAGAGAGAAATGAGTAATAAAAACAGCGCAGACCGGGTGCTCACCATAGATTCGCTCATTAGGCCAGGGGTTAACACTGTTAACCCTGTTTTGTGATAAAGGAAGCAGCTCAGAGGAGGGACTGTGGGACTGTGCAGAGGTCCCAGAGCCTGAGCTGTTAGCCCCAGGTCCTCCATGCTTCTTCGCACCTTTCTTCTGCCAAAGCAGAATGGAGCTTCTGGACTCCAGGGACCTGGCCTTTTTTTTTTTTTTTTTTTTTTTTTTTATTTTTAACAAAAGTACAATAAAGCAGGTGGTGGCGCCCCCAAGTGGCCAGAAAAGCCAAAACATTTCCTATTTCTACATTATTTTGTTTGGTGTTGGTCGCGACACCACCACCACCCCGCACCACCGTTTCTTTCCCTAGCTTTTGTTTCAGATTAGCGAGGGAGGGGTAAAATCTGGCTGATAGGCCTTCAGCGAAAACAGGGAAGGGCAGAGATTTCAGAAGAGGCGCAACCTCTGTAGGCTCGGCAAAAGGGAGGATCTTGAGAATGGGGCTTGCAGGCAAGAAAGGGAAGAAGCATTGAATGGGAGCTGGGTTTACAGTTGACAAATAATGAATTATTACTAATGAATAGTGCCTGCATAGCCTATGCCACCATGCTGGGCCGTTCACACAACCTGACCTCACTTTAAACCTGGGGTTCGCCCAGCAAGGTAGAACATTTGCTTTTTGCCTTTGACAAAAACATGTGTCAAGGGGACACAGTAGCTTGCCTGGGAAGGCAGGTGGCTGGAGGTGCTCAGCTGTTAGTGTTGCAGGCTCCTGTGCAAGTGCATTCTCCCAGATGCAGGCTTCCGGTAGCTCCTCTGAGGCCACGGAGACACCTGGCAACTACAGCTGGAGCATGGTACCAAGTGGCTAGCTTGTTGGTCGGAAGGCCTGGAGAGCCTGTTTCTCCCCTTGCAGGTTCCCCAGGCTTAGCCCCTCAGGTCCTGGCCAGATGTGGTTATGGCAACAGCTGGAGTCCAAATGGTATGTCTACATAGGAGCACCTCTGGGTGCCCCCAATGTGAGTCAAAGCTTCGGTAATTGGTCATCCCCGAAACAAATAATTGGTGTCCTATTAGGCTCTAGGACACTAGCCGCAAAGCAGTCACAAGGCAAATGACAGCTCTGTTATACGGGGCTAACAGAATCATTGTTTTAACAATAAAAAGGCAATCTTATTTTCACAGTGTTTTCTGTGGGTCAGGCCCTATGCTAAAATGATCTGCACATGTAATAATGTCCACCACATCTGGCATTCCTCCCTCTCCCTCGAAAGACATGTTAGGACCCCTGGTTTTCAAAAAAGAACACCATGGCTCAGAAAAGTCAAGAAACTTATCTAAGGCTACACAGCTGACGGAATGGGACAAAGAAGCCCCACTTCTGTTCCCCAAGACCCTGAGGTTCCTTCCCACTACCCCTGTGTTAGCCTCGTGGCAAACCCTTACTGACTGCCCCCACTTCTCCTAGTGAGGCAACGGAGCCTCAGAGAGCTAACAAGCCCCTTCCAAAGACAGGGACGGGATGGGACCACACCGTAGGAGAGATCGAGACTGAGAGGGACAAAGGGGAGGCTCCGAGGGCTCACCGATGGTGGTGATGACCGTGATGGCGAAGTAAAAGGAGCCTGCGAAGCGCCACTGGCGGCCGGCACGGTGCGGCTCTGCCTGCAGCGCCAAGCGCTCCAGTTCCCGGTAGTCGTCGGCAGAGAAGCCGTACTTTCGGCGGAACTCGCCTCGCTTCCGGGCCAGCAGCCGCTGCCGGTTACGCTCGGCCTCGGACTCCAGTGCATCGAAGACCGCGGCGCCCACCAGCAGGTAGGACAAGATGCACAGGATGAGCGCGGCGGTGCGCGCGCTCTGCTTCCTCATCGCGTCTCGCGGGCTCCGAGTCGCGGTGTCCGTGCACCCCGACGGTGCCAGCTCCATCCCTCCGCGCCCGGCGTACAGCGGAGGGCAGATTCTGAGTTCTCCCGCTGCTTCCACCGTCCTAGCTAAGACAGGTTCCTGCCGGAACATCTGGTGCAGAGGCCCGGCCCGGTGTGCAGAGGGCCCGCCTCCATCCCGAGCTCGCCCTAGGACTTGCGGGCTAGTCACTTTTTCCTTCCTTCCGTCTATCATCTAGGAAATGTTTACCAAGCGCCCTCTGGTGCCCACCACTCTCTGTGAGAGTAGAACGGATATGCCAGCAAGCAGGGAGGGATGATAAATGAGAAAAAAGATAAGGTAAGACAGGTGTGATAAAGGATAAAAAGAGCGCTTGGGGAGGCGCGTGCCAAGCCATCCAGGAGTGGCCAGGGAGACAACATCCACGACACAAGTGTAGGTTCCTCGCCAAATCAGAAGGGAGGTGACTTGGTGGCAGGAGACAGCAGGAAACAGCGGTGAAGCTGGTGTGGCTGGAGCCAAGAGAATTTGGATGCAAGCTGGAGAGAGAGATAGAGAGACAGACAGAGAGAGGTGACTTCTGCAAATCCATTTTTAATTTGATTTTTATTTTACATTCGCCTGCATGCACACCTGTGTACTGCTTGCATAGGGCTCATGGAAGTCATAAGAAGGTGTAGGTTCCAGAACCTACACTGTTACAGTTTCCAGTTGTGAGCCATCCTTTGGGGGGTGGGAATCGAACCCTGATCCTCTGGGAGAGGAGCCAGTGCTCTTAACCGATGAGCCACCTTTCCAAACCCCAGGTTGAATCTTCAGGACAATTGAAAACCTTGGAAAAGCTGTAAACAGAAATGCACACAAGTCCGCCGTAATCTCTTTGTTTTTGCTTTTTCAAAAAGGCATCATGCCGTCCACACTTGTAATCGCAGCACTTGGGAGGTCGAGGCAGCAGACCGGGAGCTCAAGTCTTGACTGGGCTACTTGGCACCGTGTCTCACCACCACCACACCTCAGAAAAAGCAAGGGCTGCTGGGCGGGGGTGTGGCAGAGAGTGAAGACCACTGAAGAGGATGGCGTCACCCAGATACATGCTGGGGTGGGGGCTAGCCCAGGGTAACAGATGAAAGGAAGCAGATGGCCCTGGGTTACATCAGAGAGCTAGGCACACAGCAAGCCCTGTTGCTTAAGCGCCCCGGCATCAAGAGGCTTCACCAATCCAAGCTTTAGCCAGTGAATCCTTGCAGAAGTGACACACACTACTCCCGGACCTGAGCTCTAAAGCCCTGCCCGCCCAGTGCCACCCCATCCCCTTTCCCTATCTGAAAGCTGAACACAGCAACCAAAGAGCATATGAAGGCTGTGCTCTATCGGGGCCATCCATTTTGAACTTCTGATCCATTATGTCAGGGTCTGATTTGGGGGTCCATCTGTCACGGAAGGTGATATACTCTGAAGACAAGAGTCACTGGTGGATTTGGGTGTGGAGGTAAAGGGAAGGCCCCAGGGTATCACCTAGACAGCTAGGGGTTTGGGAAACCTTTCATTGACCTCACTTCTCAGGGAATACACGCCTGTCTCCAAGCAGCAAAATGGAATCCTACCTGGGGGCCTGTATGGAGACTTCTGCAGCACCGGTTACCCCCACCTAAAGTTGGTGGGGACAGCTGGCCCTCCCAGGTGTCTGCTGCAGCAAGACATGCATTGCCACCGTCATGACTGTCTCCCCATAGCCTGTCGCCCTTGCTTGTGCCAGCCACCCTCAGTTTTCAGTTCTTCCTTGCCTCGATTCAGGGTTTTCTCAACCCCGCTCAGCCAGCATCAATTGCGGCCCTGCCAGGGCCAGGTAGCCCCAGAAGTGCCACACAGGAATCCATGTGCTTAATCACCCCAACTCACTCCACCATCCTCAGGTGCTTCCTAACACCTCCCCAGGGGTCTCCTCTGAGCTCCCAGAGGCCTCTGAGTGCCTACCACCTTCCCTTCCTCCAGCACAACCATTGTATTCCATATATGCATCACCCCTAGGGATCAGCCTGTGGTCTCCAACACTCAGACCTGCTTCAAAGCAGCACACACTTAGCGGCAGTTTGAGGAATGGAAACTTTCATGCACAAGTTAGGAACGGCTCACCTCTATTGCTCCCGGAGCTTGGGCTGGTTCAGTTTCACCATCAGTGGAACGTTGGGTTTGTTTTTGTTTTTCAAGACAGAGTTTCTCTATATAATAGCTCTGGCTGTCCTGGGACTCATTTTGTAGACCAGGCTGGTATCAAACCCAGAGAGTGCCTGTCTCTGCCCCCCAAGTGTTGGGATTAAAGGCATGGGTCACTACCACCTGGCTTGGAATGTTTTTGTTTTTTACTTTTTTCTGTCTCACAAGGAACTGCAGTAGTATAAGAATGGCCCCAAAAGATGCCCATGCCTCATCCTTAGGGGTCTGCGAATGCTTTTGCCTGCTTGACAATGCTGAAGATGCTGATGGCATAGGTTGCCGGTCAGCTAGCCTCAACATGGGGGATGATTTCAACCTCTGGGTGGGTCCAGCATCACCACAAGTGTCCCTGTTACTTGGAGATAAAGGTGTCGCACCTGCTGTGCGGCCTGCATCCAAGAATGTAGCGAGGTGGTCAGGATAGATGACACAGAGACCGGTCGGTTGCTTTAAGAAAACTTTATGCTTCCCAAGTCAGCTTAGGAGGAGACCCCAGTCCGCTTAGGAGAGCTCTCAGGAGAAGTCTCCCCAAGAAAAAAGAGCTTCCCTTTTTAAGGACTTTTGCCATCCATTTACATACCATTCTTTCCACTTCTCACCCTCCTGGCTGGTGGTTTAATCTCCGGCCCCAGAATCGGGGAGACACCACAGGGGGCAGGGACAGGAAGAGGCATCTAGCCGTAGGGGGTGTGACAGTCATGGTATTTCAGTGAGCAAGCCCTTATCTGAGCCCTATGAAGCTTTAAAGCACTGAATTGTTTCCAGTAAACATTACACAGATGCCTGCTCCCAGGCCGAAGAGGAAGTGGGTTTCTGCTCAAGGTCTGGTGTCCCCACATAAAGGCAGGAGAGACACCCAGAGAGAAGGCAGCTTAAGCAATTCCTCAGCCTGATCACTGGAGGAGGGGCGCCAAGATGAGGCACAGCAGGTGACATCCAGGAGCTGGAAGCTGGAAGAAGCCGAAGCCAGTTCCCTGCTTTGTCTAGGGAAAGGGAGGAATGTGACCACATGGGCACCGTTATTCTAGTCCATGGAGGTCCATGTCCAGAGAACCAGAAAATTCTTCTATTTGGGGGGTGGGAGTGGATGTGAATGTTCAAGTACACATGTGGGGGCCAGATGCATGCACACGTATGTGCACATGTATGTGCACATGTGTAGAGGCCAGACATCAACTTTGAGTGGCACCCCTCAGGACCTATCCACCTTGTTGTTGTCTTGAAACAAGATCTCTCGTTAGGATTTGGGGCTCTCCAATTCAGGCAACTGACTAGCCAGCCTGCTCCAAAGGTCCTCTTGACTTGACCTCCTCACCTAGGACCTACACGCATGTGCCACCACACCTGACTTAAAATTGGGTGCTGGGGCTTGAGCTCAGGTTCTCATGGTTGTGAAGCAAGCACTTTACTTCTCCCAGAAGGTAATGTGGAGGGGGGTGAGAATTGGGAGTAAGTCTGCCCGTTTGTGATGATTGGCAGCTGTCTTCCGGTGAATGGGGAAGCCTGGGAGCAGCATCTGCTTGCCAACAGGGTTTGCCTAGGAGCATCTAGCCACTGTGGCTATCATAGTGAGTGGACCCTGGCCTGGAAGACCTCAGCTCTGGGGTGGATTTGGGGCTCAGTGCCTATAGATAAAGATCTGCACGCCCTCACCCCCAGAGAGTCAGGATGGCAGCCAAATGGCCCAGAAGTGGGTCGCTGACGCGGGCGAGCTAACACAGTTGCCGCTACTTTATTTTTAGTAAGGGCATCAGCAAGTTTTTCTGATTCTTCTCTGCGTTAGGGAGGCAGAAACCTGGGCAGAAGCCTCGGGGTGGGGGCAGGGCACCAGGCCCTTCAAGTGATGGTGGGGACAAGCAGGCTCGGGGAACAGCTTGGTCGTGGGGTAGGAGTCGGGGGAGAGAGTCCATGAGGATGACCCTGTGCACAGCCGAGGTCCGCAAAGACTTGAGTTCAGATTCCTACTCCTCCACTTTCTGCTTGCATGCCCACAGATAGAACACCACCACCTCTCTGTGCTTCAGTTTCCCTGCGTAAGGACCAATGCTCCCACGGAGGACAGCCGCTGTGGTATGCCGCTTCCCAGGTGCCCCTGAGCTGGTAGTCTTGTTTCCTTCCTTTTCAAAACTGCCCGTCTACCGATGCCAGGAACTCTGTTTTCGGAAACAAAGGAGAGGCTAGAGGCTCTGAAGCCCCGTGTGCGCTGGGCATTGTCACAGTGTTGCCTCCAAAGGTCGGGAAGGAGAAGGTGCCAACCTGCCGAGTCCCTGTGGTAATGGCTGAGACAGGACTTGAACATGGGGCTGCCCGAGTCTGAAGGGCACCATTCTTGTGAGGCAAGGCAGTGCCGGCCATTTCACTCTTCCTGGGGACCCTGCTGTCTTCATCTGTGAGGTGGTTGCAAGATAGGGCTGTCCCACCTCTGTGAGGCCCCCGTGACACAGAGCTGAGGGCTCCTTGTCAGATGTACCCACTGGGGTGGGTATAAGTGAGGCCACAGGCCCTGTCTGGCCCTGCCAGGCAGGTGACTCTGTCCTGTGCTTGGCATTTTTGGTTCAGCAGCTCTATTTTAAGCGGAGGTGGCTAGGGTTTGTGTATGTGTGTTTCTCAGCTTGGAAAGTCATCAGCTGAGCAGACACCAAAAACAGAACTCCCTAAGGCACTCCCTTCAGCTCCCCTCCTCAGCTCCCCTCCTCCTGTCTACCCTCCTGTTCCCCCTACTTGGGAACCTGAGAAGACCTAGTGATTTTCCTCTGGCCCCGTACTAACATTATACCCATGGCCCTTCAGTGAGGCCTGGGGATTCTTTAAAAGCTGCAGCCACTTCCGTGTTGGGGAGAGGAAGCTGAGTCCCAGAATAAGAAAGAGGACTCATCTAAGGCCACACAAAATCCGGTGGTGAACAGGGGCCAGAATGGAGTAGATGGTTATCTGAGACCTTGGGTCCCATCTTAGGCATGTGACTTAGCCTCTCTGAGCCTTAGTTTGTCCATCTTTTTGCCTCAGCAGGTGGGTAGGAGTATCTGCCTGTCGGCTCACACAAATGTGCTCAGTTCAGGGCCTCGCCAGCAAGTGGAGCACCCCTCCACCTACAGGGTCTCCCCTGCCCCTTCCTCTTGTTCATTCTGAAAGGCTTTGCAAGAAATTGATTCTTACGGTTAG